CTGCCGATACTCCACTGTGATCCATTGTGATCCAGAAATGAGGCCGAGCGGACTCCGCAGGCTGCCCAAGCCCTCGGAGCAGCCCAGCAGCAAGAACAACACTGGAAGCCTCCTCCCTCCGAGCAAAATGACCTGCTAGACTGCAGAGCGGGGTTCTCTTCTGCCTTCCCCCTGGCCCCTCAGACCTTCACCCACGGGCTCCCAGCAAGGTCTCTGGTGTGGAGCCTTTCCTCCCAAGCACCCCCAGCCCAACATTTCACACAACAGACCGCTGAGCTTCCCGGGACCCCCCAGCTAAGGTCGCTGGTGCTGTCCTGGGGCTGCTGTCCAACCCTCGCTTGCGATGGAGCGGGTCACCAGTTCTCTCTGCGCTCTCTCCTTACGAGACTGATCCCTGCCCTTATTCACAGAGAAATCCATACCATAGCCTACGAGCCCAGGCGCTAGTCAAGCTCTGGAGAGAAGAACCAGTGCTTGGTTCCTGTCTCCTGGCAGCTTGTTTCAAGCATCTTCCCAGCTCAGGATGTACATTTGTGGCTCCCCTTTCGCAGGTGCCCAGCCCTCCCTGCTCACTGCAGCAGCAGCCCAGCAGCCCTTTTTGTTCTCTGACTCCGCTTGCTGGGGTCACATTTCAGGTTTTGAGGTGCCTTATAACCTCTCTGGATCTCATCCTATAAAACCTAACTCAGACCTGAGAATGTTGTACAGTGTTATCCTCAAGATGCTCCAGGGCTCTCCTGCTTTCCTCCCCCTTTTATCCTTTTTCTACTGCTGAGTAATGAGCAGTGCAGCTCTGTGCACGGGGGCGTTGCAAGAGAGGAGATCCTGGGAGCGACTTTCAAGTACCCAGGTATGAGCTAGAGGTCTGATCTGCTGCACAGGGTCCCAGCACAGTCGCAACTGTGACATCTCCCTCCCACTCCCCCCCAGACAGTCTGTAGTCTCTTTAAAATACCAAACATTGAGTTTTGGCACCCAGCTTCCTTCCACTTGAAGGGCTGTCGGGTGACTCATTGCTCCTTGCATCTTCCCAAATCTCCTCCATCACCATCCTTCTCTCTCCTCTTTGCTACTCTGCCTTCTTTTTCCCAGTTCATTTGTATAGTGGAGTTTTACTAGATAAATAGGGAGAAGAATGAGCTGGATGTGTGCATAGAGTGAAATTACCCAAGGTACTGGACCACCAAAACATATCTTAGATACTGAAAAATAGATATCCAAAATAGTGAGTCTTTAAACAGACTTTGTTTCTGGGTCTCTGAAAAAAAAAGAGGTAGTTTTGCTTAGATGGATTTACTGGCATCGTATTTATAGATATTTATGGAAAAGAATCATGTGTTTATAGATGTCTGTGGTAATGAACGTGAAATAACGTGCTTTTTATTTTCTCATCAGGTTTATACATTCTTAACAGAATGCAATAGACCCTGCTGTAACTGTCAACATCAGTGATGGATGACAATATTTGTATGAGGTTATCTGTAAAATGTACTGCTGTTATTCAGTTCATTTGGAATAGTGAACTTGTAGCCAACGATGTACAAGTCCCACATTTTAGCTAGGATTTTAAGAGCACAGTAAAATGCTGTAGGAGTTTCTCTGTTGTTAATAGGATCCAGAGTACCGTATCTACTTAGTAGGTGGTAGCATGCTTTCTTTTCATAGAGAGTTTATCGCTATTGTGAGCACTGCAAATGTTATAGACTGGATGCAAAAATTGCTCCTAATAACTACAACAAAATATTTTAAAAGTCTCATTTGCATAATAGTCACAATTGAGTGGTGAGGGACACGGAAGGACTAATTAGAAGGAGGGGCTCCTGATAAGATTGTAGGAGTTAATCCTACACTCAGCAGACGGCCTTGCTGCCTCTCCTAGTCCACAGCACATTGCAAAGAAAATAGTTGTGAGTTTAAGGCACCCTTAGGGTTGCAGGGTACAGCTGCCCTTCTCTGTCCGACGGTAAACGCCGAGTGAGTGAAACAGGACGTTGTTCCTTGGGAACAGTGTCTGGGGAGCTGTGACCTCTCTGGGTGACGCTCGCTGCCGGTCGGAGGGCCAACGCCAAATCCGTGCGCCGACACAGACCTTTCATAGGGCTCACACAGACCGAGTGGTACCTGGCCCGTGTGCGGGCCCAAGGCAGATGGGCCGATCTCATCCTGCGCCATCAGGAATGGGGATGCCCAGCCGCTCCCGAGGGCTGCTTTCCTGAGCCACATAGTGACCCCATAGCTTGTGCTCCTCTTGAAAGAGCTCACACGTGCAAATGCCGGCCGGGTGATACGCAGGTTGTGGCTGTACATCTGCCTTACAATGCGTAAGCACCACAACGCGCTCTGATAGCGAGTATTAACAGAAACAATGAATGGTGTATCTACTTTATCTTTAAATGGATACGTTTCCTTGCTTGAACCTTACATTAAGGCTAAAGAGCATCTTGGTCAAACAGAACCCTTTCCATGTGGTGGTGTCCCACCGTCCCACCCCAGTGCCTGCAGGAGGAAGGCACAGCAGAATGTACTCAGCTCCATCTGCAGCTCCACGAGATGGCTTTATTGCCTGGTGCCAGGGTGCTTGCTTAAACAATTCCCCGGAGCCCCTGGCATCAGGAAAAAATCCTTATTTCCTATAACTTGCATAAAGAATGTTTTATTTGTATGTAATGTAAGGATTTCTGTAACAAACTGTGAAAAAAAAAAAAGGTAATGAATTAATAAATAGTACAGGGGTGGAAAGGTCTAGAATTCACAAATTGTACACATGCCTATGTTTCTGAAGACAAATCTATGCAGTTGTGTTGGATTGTAGGAAATTTCATTTTTATGTACATATATATATTGTAAATAGGATGCTGTATATTTTTGCAGTTGTTTATCCCCTATGATATAGAAGTGTTGCAATAGGCTCTGCATACTAAGAATAATTTTAATAGAAATACAAATACTTTAGCTTCTGCCTTAGCAAAATATATATCCTTTCCTTTCTCCCAAGAGTTCACAAGTTAAATCCTGAACTTGAAATTATAATTACGTCGCTAATGTAACAAGAAAAAAAAGAAATAACAGGTCCAGTGAAGTTGCTAGGGTTAATTCCAGTGCATGACTCCCAGTTTTCTCAACAGCGAGCTAGCCAGTCTTCCTGCCAGGGAAAAGCTCTCCCCTTTGGTACCCAGGTACCTGTTACCTCCTCAGCTGCGGCCAGGTCGGGGTGAGGTGCTGAAAAGGCTTTATGCAGAAACCAAAGCAAAGTGCAGCCCGCAATTTGACCCAGGATTATGCCGTGTTGTATCCAGGCATGTATTTACCCAACTAGTACAAACAGAAGTCAGGGCG